TTTTGCGACGCCAAAATCGCTCCACGTCCGTGGAAAAATGTGGAGGGTGTCTTCCGCCGGAGTGGACACATTTTCGTTGATTTTTTGTGTGACTGCGTTTAAGTTCGCGATGTTTGAAGCAATGCATCGATCCTTCGTTGATCCCAGACAGGCCCCCGAAATTATAACGCAACACTGTGGCGGGCAGCGAACTCACAACGCTCAGCCTTGGTGGAAGCATGGAGCTGTATTAACACACGATGGAAGCAACAGAGCACTATACACGTCACTCACATGCTTGTGCTTCAAATCATGCAAATAGCGAGCACCGTAGACCCAACCTCGTTTCCAGGGTGTGGAGCAGGCTGCAGTACGCGTTGCCATCGACAGTTTTGCATAGCCCGGAAATACTACGCAGTGTAGACTTTCGATTTGTCAGACCGCGCAAGGCATACTTAATGTGTAGTCCTTCTGAGTATTCGTTGCACTCGGCGCAGGGGCGGCAAGCGAAGCATATGAAAGAATGGGGGCACTCGGTGCCACGCACCATGGAGAAAAAATATTTTACCAAGGTCACCCCATACCACAATTTGGTGAACGCTTTGCAGAACGGCTGAGTAGAACACGTAAACGAAACCCCTACGTTGACCTCGCTGACCTCGCACAGTCTAGACTCACAGAAAAGCCAGCACAGGGGGCGGCCAGGCAGTCAACGTGAAAGCGCACACGACGGCAAATTACTGTGCAAAATGCAGTCACGAAAAATAGACGAAAAGGATCGCCGGTCCGTACGGGAAAATCAGGACGACCCGAAGCGTCCGACCCGGCGGAAGACACCCTCCGTATTTTTCCACGGACGTGGAGCGATTTTGGCGCAGCGGGAGCCCGCGGTCTCGGATCCTTTCATGAGCAAACATCGTCTCGGAGGCCGAGTTAAACTCTCTCTTATATATATAGATACCCAGCTCCAAGTCAGAGTTCAAAATTCATCTTAGCACATACACGTAAACCATTGACCCAGTGACATGAACTCCAATTATTAAACAAAGTCTACAGTATAAACTAAACTTGCCTGTAATCCATGGAGTGCCTATATGACTACGATCACTTCACACTAATAATCCCTTCTGCTGAACTTCTGACTCAACTTGAACAAGGTGGACATGCAAGTGACCTCAGGGCCAAATTGAGCCCCAAATCTCCCTAAGCTCTGACGAGGATTAGTGATGAATCCCTCCATGTGCTAGTGACCATGTCAGTCTCAAGATGATTAAGCAGAATGTGTGAGCTTGGCCAATCATTGCAGAGAACTCAGAGTGCGTAGAAACCAATGACATACTGTCTCAACAAGTCGCCTATACCCATGTTGAAATCAACAGGGGTTTGCGATGAGAAGAACCACGTCCCATTAAACACAGATAGATCACTCTCACAGGAGTGTGTGTACACATGTCGGCCGTAGATTTTGGGATTTCTATCCAGGTAAAGCCTCTTAACCCTAGCTGGTCCTGACCAGGGTTGGGTTTTACCCATGTAGAAACTGTTCTGGATTCTTACTTGTGTGAGAAGGGTTCCCAAAATGTCCGTGTTAAACCCGGGTCCAACTCCAACACAGTCTGAAGATCAGATTATTTCGAACCCGGGTCCAACATGAAGATCAGACGTTCACGTGTGCAGAGCCAGACTACAAATGTCTGTTTTAAATATGTGCATGTACATTTTATGCGGCCCGTGTCCCAGCCTTTAAAAGTTGTGACATCATTTAAAGCCGAAATCCGGCCAAAGCTGTTGTATCCATGGTCAGAAGCCGCCATATTTTTGTCATACAGTACAACCTTGGGTTACCGAAGACACATAAGACACAACAGAAGGCACCCACTAAATGGAGGACTAGATGCAGTATTGTTTTGCATTTTAAGCAGTCTGTACGCATAATCTGCATGCAAGCTATTTTCCATAAACAACAAGTTGGAGGACACTTCGTGGACACTTCTTGTGCTCATTTCAATAAGGACAAACAACTCATTTCAATAAGGACAAACAAAAAACTGTAATTGTCATAGCTGGTCATGTTTCACTACACATACCTATACCAGTAGTTTGCATAGTTAACAAAAGACCCCCCTCCCCCTTCCCTGCCAGATGTATTCAAAATCAAACTCCCAAAAGAAGTAATGAACAAAATATAGCAACCCTTAAAACACAAAAGCCACATTAGTCAGCCTACACATACATTGTGCACCCAGCACAAAGTGAATGAGGGAAGTTGTATAATCCTTTCACCACCCCACCCCCCAAAAAACAACAACTTTGGCCTTGCAAAGTGCAATTGAATCAATGAAGGTTTTGTAGTGTGGCAAACAATTTCAAACTCATGACATTTTATGTTATTGTCCGAGACAATAACATGTTCATCCTTTCTTTTCAAACTTCCTAGTAGTACTTAGCATTCTAACCCTACAATTCAGCCACCCTGTATCTCTCCAAACTATGTACAACTACAGTATCATGAACCAGTGAAGCTGTAGAGAAGCTACTGAAAATGATTGAGTGTTGTTGGTGGCGCTAGTCCCAAATAAATGAGAAAATTGAAGAAAACAATTACTTTACAAGTTGTAGAATTTCATTAATTGGTAGAATAATGATTTCCAACTATATGGCACATGTCCATGTGTAGTTGTTGATATTTCTCTGTATTCAAAACACAAGTATCTCAAGAGTACATTTCCTTCTGTACCTTGACAACTCCTCTGTAAATTTTATAACAGATTCTTACTTTCATTGAATGAACATTCAATTTCAGCATGGAGTCTAAACAGATTGGAGTTGTGTGGAGTGTGTGGACATTGTGTCTCATACACAACCACTAAACCACAACACAGTTAGATACATGGGCTCCAAAGATCTATAATCCAGGTCCCTGGGATCTTCTAACCATTGTGGTCAGCCACTGTGTGGATAAGCTTCATTTGTTGAATCAATTAACCATAAAATCCGGCTAATTGGGTTGGTAGGGGATTCACTGCATGTAACTGTCACTAATTTGGTGTTTGTTAAAGCAGCTATAATGCTCTGGCTGGCTGGACCAGTGGTTGCACTTGCAATGCTTGACTGATGACTGAAACAGCCTAGCCTCTACACTGAAAATGCACAGTGGGTGAAAGATTTAGAGGAAAGATCGAGGAGAAAAGAAAGAGGCTTAACTTGGTTTTTACAGGTCAGTTTACCCAAGTCTTACATCAGCAAAGTCATTGCATGCTTAAGTCCAACAGTTGCAACATGACAATGCAAACATTGAGATTCACTGGTGCTCCGCCTACCAAAACAAATCTATTAGGTAGAAACTGTCAACATGGCCACAAAGGCCCCGCACGCAAGCTGAGCTATTTAAGATGACAAAGGCTTGGGAAAATATTGGCAGCGCAGTGTGGAACTCGCAGTCCAGTCCAGCAAGTGACTTGACATTTTCTGGCCACTAACAATTTGTCCCTAAAAAAACTTTGAAGGCCAATATTCTTTTATTCTACTCCATGTACACGCATGATTGGTCTATTTGTAGAGAGCACTATATTAATGAATGGAACTCAACTCAAGTGCATGCATACGAGGATTAGTTTGAAGAATGCCTACTGCTGTGTTTAACTCCAATTAAAGGGATTTTTTGTATCTTTGGTCCTTGCTCCAACATTCAACTACAGCACAGAAGATGAAATCATACAAATCACAATTTATTGATTCTATATGGTTGCCTTTGCAGAATAATACATATTGGGCGCAATCAGTGGACTTGTTTTATCATTCCAACACGCGCAAATGGGGTCCGTGTGATCAGTCGATCCTGTAGGAAATATAAGATTTTACTGTCCTTTAAAAAAAATGTGCAAACCACCCGAAACGGAAACCGAAACAGACCCAAAACAGGTTGATTTTTCCATCATTTCAGTCTGCACCAGGCATGGATCCAAGGGGGGGGGGGGGGAAATAGGGGTAAATAAAATTAAACAGGTCTGACTCAGAATATTTTTTTTCCAGAAAATTCCATTGAAATTAATGATGTAAAGCTGATGTTATTATATTCAAAAATACATTCAAATAAAAGTATACAAAAGTAATCAGTAGAATTAGGCCATAGTATTAATAACAAATAATGATACTAAAATGTCACAGAGCCAATGTGACCCATCAGGCCGGCATTTATCTCCAACTTTCAGCTACATGAAATGGCTGAGAGAATGTACATGTACTTCTAAGGTTACTTTGCAGCTAATGCTGGCACCCATTTACTCCTAGGTGGAGAGAGGCAAGTGGGGTGAAGTGGCTTACCCAAGGACCAAACATTGGACCAGCAGCTGGAATTGAATCCATGACTCTCTGATCATGAGTCACAAACCCTTACCACTAGGCCACACTCCCCACAAAAATGTAAGGACCCTTCATTGGATTCAACACATCAAAAGACAGTGAGGGGGAGGAGGGGTGGAGGATAGGACAGGGTAGATGGGGAAAGCTATAATTGTTGGGAAGGGAATGGGAATCGACAGAAATGTTTGGAATATGATTTGCCATATGGTGAGGAAATATAAAAATCACAATTATCCTAACAATGATATTAAGCCAGACAAGATAATATACATCTGCAAGGAGTAAAAAAAATAATTAAAAAGCAGGGAAGTGAGCTGCTGTCAAAAGTAATCTATTGCCAGGCACTGATAGTGATAAAGTCACTGAATAAATTATCTGGATGAAAGAAGGACTTGCACTATTTTGCATTTTAATCCAGACACTAGTTAGAATTGGGCCAGCATGCATTACTCTTGATTCTTTGAGTTCTGGCACTAAACGTATGTAAGGAGCCTCAGTACAAGCATAGAGAAAGGACATGGTAATACAAGACTGACTTTTATTTTACTCAATTTCAATTTCAATTTCAAGAACATTTATTTCCATCTTTTCACAACATTGATTATAATTAGTTTTAATGTTTATTTTTTTTTAATGAAGAAAAATACTAAAATACTCACCAATAGCAAACCTCCGAACCAGACGACCAGTCTGACTTGAACAAACATCTGCAGACCCATAATGATGACCTAGTCTTCTTTAGTCAGTAAAAAAGTTCAAATTCCAAACGAAATCGTCTAGCCGCTCGATCCTCATTCAGCAACAGAAAGTACGGCTGGAACACATGGGTTTGATCTTTTTCCCAATGAAACACAGATGTTTGTAGGATTAATCAGAGGCTTCAGGGACAGGTTTGTCTTGTTTCAGAAAACAATAATAAATTGCTAGGAACCGAAACAAGTGTATTGCGTGAGAGCTTTCCAAATTCCAATATTTACGGCAGGTTCACATTGGCAGAAAAAAAAATCCTGGGCTGACAAGGGAAATCCTTTGGGCTGCTTCCCAGGACTGATAACCACTGGAGGTATGTTTCCAATTATGACGGTATCATTTAATTGAGTACCATTCCACATTCAGTCATGCATGATCCGATGCTCAGCATTCAATATCCAGTACAGATTTCAACACGCACAGGTAAATTCCTCCGATTTTGGCAGCAGCAGGCCTATACAAAGTATTGCAAGTTGCATAGAGAGCGTTGTCCCATGGAGAAATATCTGTCTTTGCTCAGGCCACTGTCTGCTGGTCGGCAGTGTGACACCCATTCAACCAAGCGTGGAGAGAGTTACACACATCACAGCATACACTCCCTACGCACGTGCTGACAACAGAATGCCACTTCTCATACTAATGATGGGGAAGTCAAGAGCTGGTTGGCCAAGCAGCAAACCCTCTGCCAGCCACTCAGAACACAGAGCCCAAATGTCAACTCGGTGCACTGCAACCACCACTGACGTGCCTGCATACAGCTGCCTAGCCTCGGACCAGTCGGGACCACAGTGTACACCTGTATCTACCACTACTCCCACACACCCCTGGTCACCTTGGTATCCATAACCAACCTTAATCAAACCTGCATGTGATTGTCATCTGACAGCTTTATAATAGAATCTCAGGTTGGGTTCGCACGTGGGTCGAGGTTTTCGCAAGTAGACCCACCCAGTGTACGAGGTCAGCAACTTGAACTTATCCCTCCCTCCCCTAGCCTGATTTCTGGGCATATGTAACATGTGCGTCTCCCCAGGGCAGGGCTGTTAAAATTAATACAGCCTTTGGCTTGTTAGTTTGCAGATTAGTGTCATATATTAGTCATGCGAGCCCCTAGAATCCAGAAAGTCAGTGCACGGTCTCAGCATATTTATGTACAATGTACAGTGTGCTTGAACATGCAGTTAAATGTCTCACAAGGTTCCAAGGGACATATCACACAGGTCTGTCATATCCAGGCACCATGTCCAACAAAAACATGATCAGGGGAAGACCAAGGGTGTTGCACTTGTAATTATTAACCTAATTAATTGTTTAACCATAAACCTACGAGTATTTTGAAAGCCAGTTTTATTTCTTCCGATTCTTGCTGTTCTAATAAGAGCAGGCATGCAACTTTTCCTCGGATCAGCTGATTTCCTCTTTTTTTACTTCCCACATTGGAAATAGAAAAACACTGTACAAAGTCTGGGAAAATTTGAATTTCCTCTTTTTGTGTGTGACTTCCCAGTTGCATGCCTGTAAGAGGGTAAGCCTGTGCCCTCTTTGCACCAACATGTATCTAACTGACTCACTGATTGATTGACTGAGTGCGACTGTCACTTAATTATTACTTAATTAGAATGGTTACCTATGACCTATAGACTTATAGGACCAGTTGTGCTTGAAATGGTGAATTAAACAACTGTACATGAGCCAAAGAGTGAATATATCACACTGCCGTTTTTGGGAGGGGCTTAACCCTAACTCCCTAGGGGGTGTGCAAAATCGTATTAAAATTGGAGGATTCAGGACTGTTCGGGTTTAGCTACTCCCTCCATCTTCACTGTTTGTTCACAGGGCAAGGAATGTTGATCTTCAACAGTACACCCACGCTAAAAATGCAAGACCCACCCATAATATACATGTACATACGACCAGCCCAGAATGACCTTTATAGTTATACTAATTATCTCTTCGTTCTCTGAAGCCTCATTTCAGATACAATTTCCCCAAAGTGTCAGGATTCATTCTGTACACTTAAATACATAATATAACTTTAAGGGTATAGTCCATTGTAATTTGCGTCCATCTTTCGCAGTGGAGTCAGTGTCTTTGTTATTGTTCTGGAGTCAAATTTGTCAGTGTCTTTGTTATTGTTCTGGAGTCAAATTTGGACGGTAAAATAGCAATGTAAAAACATTATCTGTTTGTACTTCCACCAAAACCGCACATACACAAAGAATTTTCTTTTGCTATACATTATTCTTAGAGACAACGCAACAGGATTTATTGTATCATTGCAACTGACAAATGTACATGTGACGTGGTTTGTCAAAATCAGGTACTTTTTTGGGCAAGAAATCGATTTTGAGTTATTGAATTACTAAAATATAGATCTTGCCCTTTCTAACGCCTCTTTGTTTTTTTGACATTTTTAATCAGAATGTGCGAAATGTCACGCTATAACTAAGTTTGCGTCATTACAGAACTCTGTTCTTAAACAAAGCATGCATGCCTCTCTAAAAGTGTTTAAAGAAAAACAAATTGTCAATGAAATTTCAGTTTGAGTCATTTACAAAACATTTTGTGACATCTCCAAAAAAAAATAAAAAAAATCGCTAAGTCGCTGAAAATTACCGCCCTGTCATGTTGCAGCTGTTTCTCCATTCGTAGCTTTTTTGTTTCTGCTAGGTTTTTACATCTAGGCACGTATAATAACAGACCAAAATTCGATGGGGACATAAACAGATAAGCAGACATCATGTGAATTTTTTAAAACCTTGTAGCACTCAATAGTATAAAATATAATCAATGGCAAGAGTCTGTATCAAAAGTTACATACGTGACAGCAGTGCATGTAAATTTTGTCTTTTCTCTGCATGCCAGCTAATATTCCTATAACAAAAAGAGCATTAAAAGGACAGGTTTACTGACAACTCACAATGTTTTCTCTTCACGAAAGCAAATGAATGGGGTTGGGGCTAAAAGTCTTTGGAATGCCTGAATACAATAGTAATTTATGCACCCTTTTCATAGAGGAAATAGGAGTACAAAACAGCCCACAGCGATTTTTAAAATTTATGAAGACTAGAAGAGGGCCATGTTGCCAAGGACTTGGAGGACGTGTTGCATCAAGAAGGAAAAGGAAAAGGAGTCTGGTTACTTAAGCACAGGAGGATAGCCAAATCGACCTTCAGGCGCCCTTATGTCACTTCATGTCATGCATGGTGATTGCACACCCTTAGGTAGCTGCATCAATCTCAGAGGACCACAGGGCTTGGTTCTTTTTCACCCAAATGGCTAAGGACACAGTCAATTCACTGGCCGAAATACGTATAGGATCTCATTCTTCGAGAAAGGGAGACACTTCTTTATTTTCTTCTTCAACAGCTTTTCCTGGAAAACATGATGGGAATAAGACCTCATTTGGTGACAACTGACCTTATTCACAAAGTCTTCATGCAACCACATCACAGAGTAACAATTAGGCCTGGAGATCTTTCAACATATACACACAAAAAACGTTGAGAGGAACAGAGATATTTCCAATGAAAATAAAAGATGGACTCATGTAGCTTCATTTGTACTTCAGTTTTTCTTCTTGCTCGCAGCCTTTAATATGTTTTTATGTTACAATTACTAACTTTTACACCTATTAATGGCCCCCTAATCTGGGTTTTTGTTTTGATAAAATCTTTCAAAGCAGTCCTCAATCCTCCAATTTGAATATGATTTTGTATTAACATTGGGGATTCAGGACTGTTATATAGGGCGATGTGATTTCCTTAGTTGACTAAGATTTTCCATTCATAAGTGTTGGCTATTTGGACCTTAACATTCTTATTTGCTCATTTGATGAGGGAAAAAAGGTATGTATGGGTTCTGTTTTTGTTTTTAACCAGTGACGCTAATAATAAATAAGTAAAGTGAACTTGTACAGATCTGCCTTGGAGCGAGCAGAGTTGTTACCGGATAAGGTAGCAATGGGCAGTTGACTAATTTGCAATAATGGGTTCAATGAGTCCAATTCACAAGTAATTTGCTTCCTGTGTGGCTCTGCATTCTTCAGGTTGGAAATGGGCACTAGAAGGGCTCAGAACAGTGGACACCAAATGGGGCAATAAATCACATGCAGATGAATCTGGTCAAGGAACCGCTGGTCAAGAGACCACTGGTCAGTATTTATGGATGCTTTGGGCAGTTCACCTCAACCACTTGACCTTACCAATAACATGGGTCATTGCCAATGCTTCTGGTTATTTTCAAAAAGAAAGATGCAACCTTCTTTTTACCAGACCAAAAACCTACCGGCAAACTGTGTTTAATTCATCCACAACAAAATGTTCACGGGCAATCCACTTTTGCTTCCGGCTGTTCAATGTTTTTATTTCTCCGCTTTCAAAGCCCTTTTGTGATTGCGTGGATTTCTACTAAGCTTTAGACTTCACCAGAACCACAGGTGGAATTTACATAGCTTACATGTACAGAAAGTGCAAAATTAATCACCGAGATCTTGAACAACCGATTTCCATTGGGAAAAATAGCCAAAACTTGCAGGTGTGTATTTAGATATGAGCCAGACCACAGTGCAATAACAGTCCCGCTTCTCTCTGTTATTCATGTATTTTTTGACCATGTTGATTTCAAAAATCTGTACAACTTACAAGTGCAACAGAAAAAGATCGACGAAACTTTTATCACACACTACAGGCCTGTTAAAATGTTTATCGTATCCTATCAGAGGTTATAATTTGAGCCCCCACAATTGATTAGATTTCAGCCTGACACAACATCCAGGTTTAGCTGGGACAGTGCCAAATTTTGGGCATGCTTTGCCCGATATCTGAAGATGTGCTTAACCCTTTCAGTAACGTACTAATGTACTTGACTCGCAGATGACCTCTGGATCCGACATACTTTGAACACACATGCCAACAGCCTGGGATATGATATCCTGAGTGGTGTATCTGAAGTTACTTTAACGCCATCATAAGCAAGAAGTTAAGAGTGACAAACCAAGAGTAACAAAAACAGTGACACAAGTTGCTATTCATGCATTTTTTTTTATCTGAAATATTTCAGTTGGAAAAACAGTAAATAAAGATGGTTTTTATGCATTCACATCTTTTTATTTTCATTTGCTTTTTTTCTGCTGGAAAAGCTCCTACTTTGCAGAATGTAATGACGACAATGTTCAGTGAATACACTTGTATTCTTCCAAGTGGTGTGTCCGAATTTGTATGTATCATAAAGCAAAATTCCAGTAACAAAACATTAACAACAGTTGATTTTTATTTTCATTGAAATGTTTCAGCTGGAAAAGCTCCCACTTTAAAGTAATCAAGAAATTTGTTCAACGATGACATCTTTTTATGTCCCAAGTAGTATGTCCGACGTTGTATGCATCACAACCCAGAATTTGTACATCTATGCACTGCCTATTTTCAATGAAATATTTCAGCTAAAAAACTCCTGCTTTGGACAAAACGTGGGAGAAAGTAATCACAACGTTTGTTCAATGATGACACTTGTGTTTACGGTGCACACAAATACAGATATCCTATCCTACACTAATTCTCTGTGCAATAATTCATCTAAATTAATCCTTATCAATGTTGGGTTTTTTTTGGGGGGGGGGGCAGGTAAACTATTCTATGTTTTGTGATTTTTTTCTTTCAAATGGAAGGGCTTTCATTTGCGAACTTCTCAATTTTGACATCAGCTTTAATCAGCTAAAATTTATTTGCCAGCTTGCGAGCACTTTCTACAAAATGCCAAGGCCAGGTCTGATAAATCCCTGAATCAATGCAATTAATTTATCCACTTACATATAATTTCATAGTGCATCCACGCATTTACGATCGCATGCACATCACAATATGGCCGATCAGAAGTACATGCGGAGTCAACGGGAATGAACAATTAACCACACAAAAAAAGGAATGTTCTGAGAACAAGAAGTGAAATTGTTCTCAACATTTCAGATAGTGTACTCTCCGTCCTCAGGAGAATGCTTTTATCACAGCTCACTTGAATAGCTTGTGACTTAACCTTAAGGGGCCGGGTTATTTTGACCATCTCTCAGCCGGGGGGGGGGGGGGGGGGCGAGATCTCGGCCATCGAGTGACGATTT